GTGCCGATTTCACCGTCCTTCATGGATTTCGTCAATTGCTCTCCCCCCCCCTCCGCTGGTGTGCATCAGCAGCCTCAATTAAACACCCACTGTTGTGCTTTGCTGCAGTGCACTCACACCCCCAGATAGACAAGACCCTTATTTGTACGCTTTAGGGAAAGAAGCTCGGGTGTAGAGAGAAAAATACAAATCATAGGCTTCGAGACAGTCTCTTTCCTCCCCGAATCTTCATCGTATTTGAGACGCACAGCGAGATGCCTTCGAGCCTCTCCGGCAGGGCCAAATTTCGGCAGAAGGGCAAAGGACCCTCTTCCCCGCCCTCCAAGTCTTCATCGCACCAAACCTCAAGCCCTAGAGGCCCTTTTCTGGAACCAAAACATCGCCCCCCCAATCACTTTTCTGATTTGTGAGAAACAACGCAGAATTGTTTCTCACAAAGTAATTCCTGTGTTGGACCCACAAGATCCTCGAGCTCTCACCGTTAGCCCTGCTGGCCGTGCCCGATGGGAGTCAGAGAAATCCTGGAAAGTCTTAGGAAAGATGGATACCAAGAGTGGGGGGGGGACGTCTTTAGAAATTCTGGCTCCCCCTTTTTTAGCCTAACCCAGACGGACGGCACCAAGCTTGGTATTTCAAAAATAAAGAAATAAATACTCCCAGTTTCTAGTCTCCTATTAGCTGTTTGAACAGCTCAGAGGTTTAGGTATCGAGGTTGGGAGTTCGAATCCCCCGCACTGTGCCTCTTGGGAGAAGAGCCAGCCTGGGTGGCCTTGGGGAAGCTGCGCAGTCCCAGGACTCCACCTAGTGGAAGGGAAGGGTAAAGCACTTCTGAATATTCTCTATCTGGAAAACCCTTAAAAGGGGCCACCATTAGTCAAAATTGACTTGATTGCAGATGATTACTAAATATTTGCAGTTTAGGTCTTGGCGAAGCTGCCCCCCCTTTTTTGGCAAAACATCTGCTACAGGAGGCTTTCAGGAGCAGAAAATAACGTCTCCCCACTTCCCTTTCTCCCCAGGGATTGAAAAATAATTTGGGAGGCTGCATGCCACACTGATGGCCGAGCTTTAGAATGGTCTTTTCAGGTGAAAAGGGGGAGATCTTTTCCGTGACATTCAGTTTTTTAAAAGAAACCTTAAGGTCCTTCTGCTCTGAATCTGCGGTTTGAGAATTTTGGCAAATCCTTCAAAAACAAAGCGAACACAAATTTTCCTACGTCTGCGGTGCCCCAGGTTTGACACCTAGGAAGATCTATTTCCAGAATGAACTGAACCATGCTCTACCTACCTGCTCTATATGTATTAAAGATGAAAAGTGCCTCGGGGGAGAAAGAAGTTGGCAACCCTAATTTAGCCACTAATATACAGGAATACCTCAGGATTCAAAGGCAGGCGTTTCAAGCCGTCACTCCCAATTTCCACCACGTTTTTAAACTCTCCTCTTCATTCTGAAGACAACCAACTTTGGGGATTTGGGGAAATGGTTTTTTGGAAAAGAGATATATATTTATCCTGATCCCCTTGAGCCAAAGAATCATCAGTCTGATTTTAAGATTCCTTACAAACATCCCAGCAGGATCCAGGAATCCCAAATACCAGAAGCTGATCTGGAAAGCTTTGGTGGGTGATTTCTGTCCATCTCACCCTGAATTTCAAGAAACTGGGATAAGAGGAATATAAATATATTATAATAATCGCCAGAGACCTAAACCACTGAGCTATCTAGCAGTTCATGTTGGAGGAGAGCTTCGTTTTGTTGTTGAAGGAATTCATTGCTCTTGCACATTAATATTTGAGAAATAAACATTGGTACGGATTTCAACAAGAACTGAATATTCATGATCTTTTCTGATTTTAGAAGCTAATCAGGGTCAGGGATGGTCAGTATTTAGATGGGGTGCCCATGAAAGAGCGTCAGAGATCTCTAGAGAGGGCGAGGAAAGGATTCTGATTGCCAGACAGAGTTTCTGCCTGGGAAAAAAGAGAGAGAGACCCATGATTTGACTCCAGAAAAGGACATTTTCTGTCTTCCTGATGAGGTGAGAATAATTTCTGGTGCTATTTTCTTGCTGTTGTTAGGTGCTTCTGATTTAAGTCAGAACTTGTAAACTGGCCACAGTAGTGTGTGCACGAGTGGGGCGGTATATTTATCGATTGATAAATCAAAAGAAGGAAGGAAAATATAGAAAGATAGAAGGAAGGAAGGAAGGAAGGAAGGAAGGAAGGAAGGAGGGAGGGAGGGAGGGAGGGAGGGAGGGAAGA